AAGGGAGAGGACGATCGGCTGCGCGAGTTACTGCGGGAGTATGCCGACGTATTCAGTGAACACGACTCGGACGTGGGTCGGACCGATCTTGTTAAGCACCAAATTGACACCGGTGCAGCCCGACCCATCAAACTCCCTGCGTACCGAGTGGGCGCACCCGAACGCGCCCAAATCAAAGAGGCAGTTGGGGACATGCTTCGCGATAACATAATTCAGCCCTCGGCGAGCCCCTGGTCAGCCCCGGTGGTACTAGTAACGAAAAAGGATGGGTCAACCCGGTTCTGCGTCGATTACCATAAACTAAATGCAGTCACGCTCGGCGATGCCTTCCCCATACCCCGCATCGACGACACCTTCGACAGTCTCGCAGGAGCGCGGTATTTTTCCACCCTCGATCTGGCGTCCGGTTACTGGCAGGTGGAGATGACAGAGGAGGATCGGCCAAAAACAGCATTCACCACCCCGATGGGCCTGTTTGAGTTTCGAGTGTTGCCGTTCGGACTCACTAACGCGCCCGCGACGTTCCAGCGGTTGATGGAGTTGGTGATGCGGGGCTTGCAGTGGGAACAGTGCCTGATTTACTTGGACGATGTGATAGTGTTCAGTAGATCTTTGTCTGAGCATTGGTCCAGGCTTCGAGAGGTGTTCCAGCGACTGCGAGCGGCTCATCTCAAGCTCAAGCCACGTAAGTGTTACATCGCACAACGCGAGGTGGGGTACCTCGGGCATCGCGTCAGCGAGGCAGGCGTGCACACCGATCCGGAGAAGGTACGCGCCGTAGTGGAGTGGCCACGGCCAAGGAATCTGACGGAGATCAGATCATTTTTGGGGCTCGCCACCTATTATCGTCGATTTGTAAAGGGATTCAGCGAGATTGCACGCCCCCTCACCCAACTCACCTCCCCTAAGCACCCCTATCAGTGGACGGGGGCCTGCCAGACGACCTTCACCACTCTCAAAGACCACCTCACCCACGCCCCCACCCTCGCTTTCCCCGATTTTACCACCGATTTTATTTTGGACACCGACGCCTGCAGCAGCGGGCTGGGCGCGGTGTTGTCACAGGTACAGGATGGGACGGAACGAGTCATCGCGTACGCCAGCCGGACCTTGAGTGGGGCCGAGCTGAACTATTGCGTGACCCGCCAAGAGTTGTACGCCGTGATTTTCGCATGCAAACAGTTCCGGCCGTATTTGTACGGCAGGAGATGTCGCGTACGCACTGACCATTATGCTCTGCAGTTTCTTCTTACATTCAAGGAGCCGCGGGGGCAGATGGCCCGGTGGTTGGCGCAGTTGCAGGAGTACAACCTGCAAATCGAGTATCGGGCTGGCCGGACGCATGCAAACGCGGACGCCTTGTCGAGGCGACCCACGGCGTACGCCGAGACGAGGGCGGAGGAGGCCTGCCCGTGTTTCATGGGGGGACGCTGCCGGCAGGCAACGGACCCCCGAGAGGCCGCGGCCACTGACCCCCCCCCAGCGAGAGAGAGTGCAGTGTGCGCCACGGAAACCCTCACAGGTGGCACTGAGGATCCCGTCGACCGCCCGGCAAGCGCGGGACCCGCGGCTCGGGACCCGATTGGACGGATCCAGGAGGACGTCGGCTGCGCCTTCCCGGGCCTAAACGACGAGCAGCTGAGACAGACCCAGCAGCGAGATCCGGATCTGGCGGCAGTGGAGGCGGCACTGCGGGAGGAAAAGAGCGCCCTACCAGGACCCTGGAGCGGTTTGTATGCCCGGTTGTGTGTGCAGAACGGAGTGGTACGGGAGTTAACCGAGGCCGGCCAGCCGGGGTGCATCTGTGTTCCTGCCCAGGTGCGACCCCAGCTGCTACGGCTGGTGCATGACCACCCACTCGGGGGCCACGATGGGGAACGACGTACTCGAGAGACCCTGCGTCGCCAGTATCTCTGGCCCAAATTGGCACAAGACGTGGCGGCCTGGGTACAGGGCTGCCGCGCCTGTCAGCAGTGCGGGCCGAAACCGGCACGATACCAGGTACCCCTAAGGCCGTTCCGCGTCAGCCGCACGAATCAGCTGGTCGGGATCGACCTACAGGGGCCATTCCCGCGATCCCATCGAGGCAACCGATATATCCTAGTCGCAGTAGAGTATTTCACCCGCTACCCCGTGGCAGTGGCCATCCCTGATAAAACGGCCTTGGTGGTGGCCCGGGCATTTGTGGAACACTACGTACTTAAGCACGGGATCCCAGAACGAGTCCTCACCGACCAGGGTAGCGAGTTCGAGGCCGAGTTGTTCCAGGCACTGTGCCGAGAGTTCGGAATCCAGAAGGACCGAACCACAGCGTACCACCCCCAGGCGAACGGGATGGTGGAGCGCATGAATCAGACCTTATCGGGGAAACTCAAACGTATGGCGGCCGCAAATCAACGGGATTGGGATGAACACCTCCCCTACGCCCTTTTCGCCTACGCCACCACCGTACACACGTCGACGGGACAAACCCCGTTTTTAATGATGTTCGGCCGTGAGTCTCGTTTACCCGCAGATCTGCCATTCGGCGTCCCTTCCCCCCAGCCGGAGGAGGGAAGCCGCCCCGTGGAACACCTGTTGGAGACCCTACGAGAAGCCCGAGGCCGAGCATACCCGCAAGGGGAAGCCGCGCATCGGCGGCAGGAACAGGGCACCCGACCCCGCATGGAACCCCCCTTATTCCTGACAGGTGCTAAGGTGTGGCTACACACCCCTCGCGTCGGGGCCGGGCAGGTGGGGAAACTGACGACCTACTGGCGGGGACCCTGGACCGTGGTGCGACAGATCTCCCCCTGGACGGTACTAATTGATGGCGGGGAGAAGGGTCGAGAGACGGTGGTCAATGTCCGCCGCTTAAAACCGTGGAAAGCGGCCCCGGCGAGAGAGAACCCCGTCACCCGAAGGCCCCGAAATCCCGGAGTACCCGCATCCCCCGTGCCCGGGGGCCTCGCGCAGTATATGGGCCCCACGGAGCCCAGGGCTCCGAGGGGCCCCGGGCGGGGCCGGGGGCGACGAGGACGGCGACCCTTAAACCCCACCGCCTCTGAGTTTGTTCCCCAGCCCGCAGGTGCCAGGGGCCGAGGGGAGCCGTTGGAATGGAGGAGGAGACCACCGCCGGAGCCCCAGGAGACGGAGCCGCCACCCCCGAGGCCAGCCACAAGGGCCGGGCGAATCCCGCGGACCCTGCGGCGATACCTCGTGGGGGCAACCCAGGCGAGGTGCTCAAGTCAACCCGGGACGGGGACTGGCACCCCGGGGGGCTATGTGGTGCCACAGCGACGGGGCCGCTCTGCCGAGCCAGGGAGCCGCCCGGCTTCCCCCACCGCACTGCCCCCCATCACCCGCCCCACATAAGCACACACCCGCACGCATCCCCCCCCCCCCCCATAGAGCTGGAAGGGAAGGTTACCTGATCGACCGGTTTTTATCCGAGAGACCCTTATCGGGATTAATTCTCACGGTTTCCGGCGATCAGGGAATTGGATGACCTCCCCCGTGCTACGTGGTACCGCGGCGCTGCTGCCGGCCTTAATATGGTGTGGTCGCGGCGTGGGGCATTCGGCCACCGCGGTTGAGGTGCATTTCCCCCCACACACACCCCCACGAGTCGACGGGGCAAGCAGGGGAGGCACGAGACAGCATGAATAGCGGGGTCACAGGGGCTGTTGCGCATAGTCATGGAGGGTTGGGATAATTGCGCTTGAGCGCGCAGGCCCCATTGTTAGGAAGGGTAAGGGAGTAATTAGGATGTACGCCGCCAACGTCGCGCACTGATTAGCATATCAACAGCGCCCGGGAACCGCCGTGCGCGGGCTTGGGGTGCACGAGCCGATTGTTCAGCGCAGCATCCCCTTTGAGGTAGGGAGGATAAATAGAGGAGCGGAGAGGGGAAATCGCCCCTTCTCTCCAGGCCAGCGGACCAGCAGGAGTTCCAGCCAGCGACCCGGACGTCCGTGCGACGCATCGAGGTACGCTGTTAGCGCAGAGAGCAGCGAACCTCCGCGGGCACCAAACAGTGAGTGGGGAGGTGAAGTAGGGTATCGTAAGCCGATAAATAGGGAATAGGTACAGGTTTAGTGGAATAGGCCAGCCTCGTCGACTCACTGATTCCACATCAATTCGCAGGTGGCATATAATAAATCATTAATAGCGAAGCGTGGTCTCGCGTGATCTTGTCGTGCAGTGTGAGCGTGTGGGTGCGCTGTGTGCACAGTGGTTCGCCACGTGAGTGAGTGCTGCGCGGAGCTGAGCGCGCGGGTTGCGCGTGGGTACGCAGTGATTCTGTGGTGCTGCGGCTCGCCTCGGGGGAGCGCTGCGCAGAGCGGTGCGAGAGTGGGTGTCGCGTGTGTTCACTCCGTGTGTGATACAGGTGCGCGAGTATAACGTGAGTTGAGTTGGAGTACGTGGAGCGGCGTGTGTGTGGGCGTGCGTGCGTAATCGGCGTCCCCCAGGTGCGCGCTCATAACGTGAGCGGCCAGCAGGCGGCGAGCGCTGCGCAGAGCGGCGCAAGAGTGGGTATCGCGTGTGGAGCTGTATGCGTGTGTGCGCGCACGTTCACTACGTGTATAATACGGATGCGCATTGGGAACGTGCCGCACAGGGCTATACTGCGAGCACGGCGTTTGATCGACGATGATGTGCGCACGTATGCTCGCAGCGTGGGAGCGCGGCGCGAGGCTGTAACCGTAGGGGCGTCGCGTTCGAATGCCGGCGAAACCGTAGCGGGTAATAGGGAGGTGGGGTAACGTAAACGAATAGGGGATGCAGGCGGGAGGGACCCCGGGGGCCGACGGCCCCCACACGACTCCGCTGCCGTACGATGCGTCCCAGACACGACCCTCTCCGCGTTGTACCGACGGCGTCTAACGGGACAGCCAACTACTGTCCGGCCGCGCGATGATCGGGCAAAGGCAGCATCGACGAGGGCAGCGATGACGACAGCGACGACGACAGTGACAATGAGACGAGTTCAATCCCAGAACCGGCAGCTCTTGCTCTCCGCTGCTTATACAGGGTGACCCAAAAAAAACGGGCCCCAACTCTAATAGGCCCCGTGTGCACGGGGCCCCTTTTTTTTGGGTCACCCTGTATTCCCCTCGGCGTGGCTTGGCCACGCCCTAGCCGGGATTTGTTTCGCCCAAGTAAACTCACAAAAGCTGCACATTGTCTAGACTCGTGCATGTTCGTAAGAACATGTTGAAGGCCATGTGACTTTGATGAGAATATCACAAGTGCTAAGTACCTCACTTAGCGCTCCTAGAAAAGTGAGCGCTAATCGAATAAGAACTAAAAGGGGTCATTATATTGTTGTATATATATAGGGATGCATTCCTGACAGCGTTATTTCTTTCGTATAAGCAATATATGAGGGCTTCATTCAGGTATTGGTAACAGCGCTAATAATAATGACGGCAAACATTATTTCATAAATAAATAAATGTTGGTTCTAACATCAGTTATATACCGTACACATGAGTGAATTCTACTGTGCTCCAGAGCTCCAGGACCTCTGTTATATTCGTGATGCCTTCAGTCAAAATTTCTGTGGTGAATGTTTCTTTTAGATGGAGCCCCAGACTATACCCTGGTCATGTGAGTTCTCACGTGGCTAAATGTACTGTAATAACATTGAGAGAGAAAACATCGATTTTAAATGTAATCTAATTGCGGGAGGTGGGGTCTAGTTGGCTTCGAGTGTATTGGCTGAGCCAATTATGGGGGTGGGTACGTTTCCTCGGCCACCACTGCTGCATGTTCCTAGATTTTTTTGAAAAAATATTTTCCAGGTCAATGAGTGCTATAACGAATCAACCTTATCCAGGGTCGTGCTATTGGAGGTCTGCCTGTATTGTGCATTTGTGGTGTGCGTATGTGTGAAAGCTCATGTGTGAGTATTTTTAAATCAATTAGTCATAGCATGTGTGTGGTAACACGAAAATACTTTTATAAGAATGCCGATGCTCCGATACTGGCGAGAATGTGGGCGCAGCTGGCTGGAAGTACTGTATGCCATGACAGCCCCCACGCTAGAGGCGTGCTCCCTGATGCCGAAGCATCAGTGATGAGTACCACAGGGGATGAGAGGGTGGGCCCTGACACTATCAACTCATGCCTTTTTTCAATCCTATTAATGGTGTAATATTGTCTCATGTCCAGCCATGTAGATCATTTTTCCTATTCCATACAACTTTAAGTATTCCATGCAGGACCACTTGTGTTCTCCTATTGAGCTACTCATATTATATATAGGACAATATTGTTTTCCATCTATTTAGAAAATAGTAAATTATATTTTGTTTAAACATGCAAGCGATGTTTCTATACATCCATTGCAAGACATGGTCCAACAACTGGTAGTGTGCATCCTTTTATGTTATGCTGTACATGAACAATATACAACTAATATATATCTCTAATACCTAAATGAGGGCCTCCACACATTCTGCGGGTTAAGGAGATTATATGACCGTATTTCTGGTGAGTCCAGGTTGGTAAAGGTAGGGAACATTTCTGTTGGAGCAACAATACATTTTTCTGCATAGTCTTCTGCTGCCAACAAAGTACGATGATGCATGGTCAAACCCGCATGACAGACATGGCATAAGGAGGCCTTCAATTAATGAACCCAGCTATAGAATGTTACCAACAAGGGCCAATACATACATGCCTGTATTTAGTTGCGCAAAGGAAGGCTTAGTTTGTATGGCTGGGGAGCTGGTGTAGCCTGGGAAATAGACTCCAGGGAAGGTGATGAGACAGTGTCAGGCCAATAATTCTCAAATGCTGCAGTAGCGATATGAAGGAAATAAAAAGCTCCACTTTGGCCAGATGTTCTCCCAAACATATACGGGGGCCAGCGGAGAATGGTAGGAATGTGTCTGGCTTGACAAACTGACCATTTATATCTAGGAAGTTGTTAGGATTGAATTTGTGTGTTTTCCACTGGCTTTCATCATTGAGAACAGACATCAAGTTTAACATTACCAGTGTGTTCTTTGGAATCAAATATTCCTGGAACACTACATCCTTGGTGGTTGTGTGCCCCACACCAAGTGGAACAACATTGCTGCCAAATCGCTGTATCTCATGGATCACGGCATCTACTGTACGTATGGCAGGTTGTGTCTGTCCTCCGTGTGTGGCAGTCGCTTTAATCCAACAACCCTGTCAATCTCCTCGTGGCAACGGGCTTGAATGTCAGGGTATATCATCATAAAGAGCAGGCCCCAGCGTAACGTGGTGAAAGTGGTCTCTGTGCCAGCAACAAAGAGGTCTAATATCAACATGAGATTCTCTTCTGAGAAGCTGCTGTTGGGATTGTCCTTGTCATTCTCAAACTGGGTCAGGTAGGTGTCAATCAAATCCCTGGGGTTTTGTGTATTCCGTGTTGTGTAATGTTTGGATATTATGTCCTCAATAAAAATTATGAATCCTTGCCATGTTTTTTAATATTCTCTGTTGCGGTCCAGGCAGGTCCATAAAAAAGGTAATATGTTACATAGTGCTCCCACTGGTCCTGCTTGTAGTTGTAGGTTTTCCTCTAGGAGGTGCAACAAGGATTGGAACTGCTTGTCATTGTATTCAAAGCGGGTTCCAGTCACTAGGGAACAAATTATGTTGCCCATAGCATTGTTTAAGTTAAAATGAGGGTCAAATGATGACGCTTCTTGCCGGAATATTTCAATTAGGTAACGTATTTCTGTCAAGATTCGATCTTCTATGGACGCCTTGCCAAAACCAAAACTGCGCAATGTCGACAGAGTAAACCTGCGATGCTGCTTCCAAGCATCACCATATGGAGCGGTGATGAGGCCCGAGTTGTTTTGTGATTTTTGTGGTGAAAGGAGTAAATGGCCGGCCAGCAAAGTCATGACCTTGATGCACCAAAACCTCCTTGACTGCCTGGTAGCCACTTACCAGCACAATTGGAATCTTGCCCAACATTATGCTGCACACACTCCCATATTCCGCAGCCAACTGCTGCATTACAACATGCAGTTTCTTTTGACTGAATATGGATATATTTCCCACGAGGGGGAGTGCTCTCGGACCTGGGGGAAAGCCCATTGGGCGAATGGATGACTTCACCTCACAGAGAACAGCTCGCGCAGCCAGGAACACCGGGATAAAAATCGCCAGGCAGACCAGGATATGCCTTACTGAAGAGAAGCCCCATTCCACGACTGTATCAACTACTAGCAACATTTTTCGATTTAAATTTCGATTTAAAGCTTTCGTGACTGCAGGGATTCATCTTCTTGGTTCTTTCGGTAAAGTCACGTAGAAGGGAAGTAATAAAATAAAAAAAATAAAACATAATAAAATAATTCTCACGACGTTTCGGCCACAACGCCAGCAGCCGTCCTCAGGTGAAGACCAGGTCTGTCGGTGAGACAGCGTCTGAATGCTAGCAACATGTTACACAGTGGGCAATAGAGTGAAGATATTCCGCAAGAGTTTAACGATTATAAAAGTGGCCTTCACGTAGTAAAAACACGTGAAAAATATATGATTATTTCCTCACCTGAACATTGATTTTGTAACATTTCTCGTTGTATGCAATAGCTTACCTGTATGTATGTTGAACTTTTTTCGCACCGTACGTAGTCAACTACGCTGCTCAGTGTTTCCAGATTTGAGAAGAGTATAATCTGAAAAGGAAGAATGGTTCGAAAGTGTAGTTGAATCTATTAGTGCAGAACTGTCAGTGTCGCCCCATCATCTGTGTGGGTTTTATCTAAGTATTCTGCACACACACCAAACATTTCATAACGGCATTAAAAAAAAAAACGTGTTTATACAGGACCCCACTCAAAAGTCTTCCGACTCATCGAGATTAACCACTTCATGGTACAATACTCTAACTAAAGCACACACCATTAACAAAATTTGCATTGCACTTATTACCGATGGCAAATATATATATATAAAACCATACAGACACTGTAAGTAAACGTTGAACTTTCTCGTTGCACAGTATATTATTTTTATTTTAAAAAAATTACCCTAAGTCTTTACCAATACCCAATGGCAATTACATAAGCTGCCGGGTGGTGGCAGCACACCCCTGTAATCCAGCACTGGAGGGGAGGGTTGATGGATCAAACAAATGTGAAATTCCCTTCCCAATTCAGATTTTTCAAGAGAAAAACAAGTGCCATGTGTGACCCCTTTAAGCGTTGTTGCTACGTTCATTGCATGTTTTTATTTATCCTTGATATCGTTGGGGTTGGGCGATTAAACTCTAATCTTGAAACCTGCAGCAGTATGTAAGACTTTACTCAGAGCACGCCCGCAGTTATATGAACCAGTCACAATTCAAAAATGTATTCCGTTTGTGACTGTGATCATCACGGTTAACGCAGCTGATGCCTCCACGCCTCGTGCAAGCTCACATTCACATTGTGAAAGAGAACACCCCCTCCAACCACATTGCACATGGTACAGCCCATGGTTAACGATTGAGTGTGCGAATGTACTGTTTTATGTACAGCACTGGATGAATTGCTGTGTGTGGGGAGCTGTGGAAAATTGGTTCGCGCACTGTGCTACGAACTTTTGCAACCAGGTTCGTGGTACAGTGAATTTTGGCCAAAGCTGATATGAGTGGCGAGTGATAATCTGAACCAGTTCTGAGCGTCCCAAATGTCAACTCAGCCTTCAATGTGCACTGTTCCTGGTGCAGTATGCAAACATTAGCAGCGCGGAGGTAAAGACGGCTGGCGGTGGTGCTGGACAGACAACCGTTTATGTGCCGTATCCGCCTCCATAGGTGCTTGCTCTCAGCACTTGCCCCAACAGTATTTGTAGGCTACACATGTGACTTTTGCCTTTGTATATGTGATGACATTTAGCTGGGGGCTCTCTCAGTTACTCAGCAAACGGCTGTCCCCTGTGGCTCTTTGTCGTTGATGTTGAGCCCTGATTGCTTCAATTTGGGCTGCACTCCGCGGTGTTGCTCTCTCCTCTCCCGTGTTTCCCTGCCCTCACCACCTAGGCATCCCACCTGAAGTCTCTCCTAATATTTGGGTTATCAACTTTGAGGCTTAAAAAAACTCAGGACACAGATTGGGAATAATATTACAGTAATACCCCGATTAACATTCCCCCCTTTTAAGTCGTTTCGCAAATACTTCGTCACGTTATTAAATTAAATATGGATCGCCTTAACCTTCGCCTCCACCTCCCCTGTAAATTGCTTTGATTTACGTCGTTTCGATATTCGTCTCACATTTCAGGAACGCATCCCCGACATAAACCGGGATATTACTGTTTCAAAATAACGAAATACGGGTGAAGAACATGAAATGCATTGTCCTGAGTGGTGTATTCAATTAACATAAACCAGACATTTCATGTCTGAGGACAACATACATATTTCCCAGAACAGCTACTTCAAAAATAAATAATGTTTTGGTGTTGTGGGACCCTTTTATAAAATGTAAGGTTATTGGTGTACAGACAATGATACAATTGGCACTTCATGCAGCATGAGCATGTTGACCATATAGTCGAGTCCTCATTGGTTACTCCATTGGGATTCTTCCCTGGGCTGCATGGTTCGTTATTTTTTGCAAGGTTATAGGTTGTTGGCGTTTATTCTTTGGAATAGTCAAGAAGCTCTGGATGAGACTTGGTATGTTCATACCTTCAATGACGGAACTTTAATTGGAAAATATACTTAGGGGGAGAGTTCCCCATGACAATTGTATTATTAATTAAAACTGCAGGTACAATGTCCACACCGGTCCTCCTGGTCACTGTGTGTTGGTATATGACGGTGTATGTCTCAAAAGTTAATTTTATTGTTCATTTGTATGTGAAACAAAACCACGAACATGTCACCCAAAAGTGTGCCCCTTGGTCAACAGTAATGCATATCCATGGTAGTGTAGCTATCACTGCTCATGCCTGAGGATATTCGCATGGGAGTCTCTGGCTTGTTATTGTGGGATATACCATGTGTGTCATAGTGGAGAGATGTGGGTTGCGGGGCTACATTCTTTGTCCCTGCCTTTCATTCCCTGACACTGAGCGACCCTTATTGATTTAGCTGCCAGTGCTGTAAGAAAAGAAGCCGGGCTTGCGGTGAAAAGACACCAGTCTGCACGGAAAGACCGCTGCTGTAGACTTCCCACACTTTACAAATGATGTTCGACCAGAACCGGTCACAATGCACATGTACATTGCAGAACTTTTTTCAATACACTGCGCTATTTAAATTACGATAAGATATAAGGGACTCCCTACGCTATGGGTCATGTTGGGGGTTATTTGTAGCGTACTTCATGCTGGTTAGTGCACATTAAAGGTGGGCAGCATAGACATGGGAACACAGACGTACAGTACAACAATTGATGTTCCAGCACCGCTCTCTGCTGCCCACAATGTAGCCCGACAGCAGGCTATTAACACCAGTTGAATCCATATGGTGGTTGGTACGTTCCAGCAATTTAACGGGGTTAGGCGCATTCGATGGTGAATCTGTCCAGCGGTGTAAAAGCACTCATGAGTCTGTGTAGCACCAGACATTCAGCTCACCTTCGATTTATCTGCAGGACTTGGCTGCAAGTGTCACCTCCGTGTGCTCTTAATACACATGTTGTAAATAAAGCGTATACGTTACGTTAGACATGTTTTATAATTGCCTGTGGATCTTGGCGTGTTATTTAATCTGTCCTTTTTAACACGTAGGCTTTTGCGACCAATACTAGTGACGAAATGGCATGTTCTGTTTACGTGACAACCCTTACTAGTTGGCTGTCGGGTGGTGGTGGGTTTTAACGACACATTTATATATTTACGCGATCTAACCCAAAAACCTCTATTATGGATAACCTGGCCTTCAATGCATAAGGGTTTGGACACCACTGGAATACGTTATTAGCGATTGGGAAGGTTGTAAACTCTGCAAACAGTAACACTTATACTTTTGCAGTCGAAAGCCATTGATGAAAGCAAACGTTTATTTTAAAACATTGCTTTTTAAAGATGCGATAATGGATTTTTAAATACCGTTTAGAGACCTCCCTTTAGTTTGGAGCCCCTTTTGCAAGCAGTAGCGCCAGAAAGTAGATGCACAGCCATACCTTTTAATGTCGCCCACGGGTGGCAGCATCAGCAGCAGCACTTCGAGAACAAAAATGTGAAGATTAATGATTTAGTTAGCGTGACGAAGGGCACGGCCACGCACGCTGAATCCATTGCCTCGCCCAACACTAAGAGATACAAGTTCCGTGTATCAGTATCAGCCCGCCGGTCCCTGTACTGTACCAATTTAACAGCCCCGTTAACAAACAATCGGGCAATTCACTCTTGGGCACTACAACGAACGTGACTTGACTTTACAATATACAGATGTATGCAACAAATTCCTTGTAGAACTAGAAGTAACCTACACGGCATCTTACGTTTGAAGATGTACCCTTTGAGGGGGGGGAGGGTGCTGGGAGGGATGCTATTAGCAATCACACAAATGTCAATGCTCAGAGACCTAAAATGCATTTGAATCGGTAATGCAGCAAGCAATGAGTAAGGAAAACGCGCCGAATTTGTGAGTCTTTAGAGGTCAGTGAGAGTGTTGATCACATCATTGCCATCCCATTTGTGGTACCATTTTTTGATTGAGTAAACCTAAAAGCAGCAGCCCAAGGCAATTTTCAACTACTGTATAAGCAACATGTGCTGCATGCACATGGAAAAAAGCATTGGTCACTAGGATTTTAAACGAATTCGGTAAACATACACACCATAGAGACACAGTTATCGTGTGCTAAAATTAGGAGGGTTAAGACACAGAGAAACACAGAAATACAGGCATGTCTCGCTGAATGATCGAGATGTTATGCGGAAATTGCTCGGTAAGCGAAAACTCGTTAAACGATCATCGTTTTCCCATCGACTCTCATGTTAAAAGCTGAGCTACGATAATTGTTTTTTTACCCTTTTATCTGGCAACAAAACTGACACCTTTTTTGATACGAGGAGTCATGTTTGCATAGACCACAATACCTGCAGTCATAATGCAAACAAAAAACATAACTCTGATTATGTATGCACTGTCCTTGAAGTTGATTAGTTCACACCCGAGACAGCTTTCCTTAGAGCCTAGTCTCACATGGTGTTGGACCAGATGACGCCAAAAGGCGCACGTGCGCCTTTTGGCTCGAAGGAAAGCTGTCTCGGGTGTGGACCAATCAATTTCAAAGGCAGTGCATTCATTACCAGAGTTGTCTTTTTGTTTGTATTTTGACCGCAAGTGCTGTGGTTAATGCAAACATGATCCCTTGTATAAAGGTGTCAGTTTTGTTGCCAGATGAAAGGGTAAAAAAACAATTATCATATTTTTCTACTGGCAACTGAGGTTCCAATGGAGCTGAGCTACGTTTCAGCCCCAAAATGTTCCACTCTTGACCATCTTTTCTAGGTGAGAAATACAATTGATCATTTTAAAATAAAGTTATAAAACATCAAATGTAACACTTGAAGAACCACAGTGCTTGCAGGAGCCTGGAATTAATGGGTAGATATGAGTGGGTGGAGGGAGGCAGCGGTGCAGGACCGGAGGTTTAAATATCACTCGCCACTGATGTTAGCCGTGGCTCGGACTGGAACCGGGGTTGCGTGATTTATAGCCACGATGCGGGGATGCGGGATCCAGCGCGACTTCCTGTTCTCGGCGCCTGTAATTAATTAGTACCGCCACTGACCCCAACTGCACCCACCCATTGCAGTGCCACCACGAGGCACCCTCCCCCCAAACGACGAAACAAGCGGGCACTGCACAGGAGGGCTGGTAAACAAGCAGACGCGGGCCACCGTGCGCCCCCGACCGCCACGGGACGCACACAGTATTTTTCGAAGTAAACACTTGCTCGTTTTTGCGAATGGGTCTAAATTTAAATTGCTCGTTTTAGCGAATTCTCGTAGAAAGAACGCTCGTAAAGCAAGACACGCCGGTATAGTATAGGAATTCTGTCAGTGGAATTATGAATGAGGACCTCACCATGCCGTGTGGGGGTGTGGAATTTCCTTTACCATACATTATCATGCTGGCCAAGGCCGATTGGTGAAAGCGGGGAACATTGAAGTTGTAAATTGGCCAGAAATGCAATGTCTGCTGCCTACAACGTAGACCCACAGTAGCTTGTAACGCCTGTTTTATTCATGGTGGTCGTATATTCCAGCACTATCCAGGCTCAACACATCTTAGCTTCGAAGCACTGACAGGGTGCATTCCAGGTGATTTGATTTGATCCATACATCACATAAACACTGAAACAGACACACAGAAACATGAAGACACAGACTCATTCCTCGGTACACGGTGAGAAGGATAAACGAGTAAAGACAAGTAAGATGCAGTGAGACAGGGGCTACTGAGAGGGAAACAGAAACAGATCCAGAATTCCATCACCCCCCTCCCCTCCCCCATAAGAAGTCAGGGCTCTGAATGAACCCCGACCTACTAATTCTTGCACAACCTTGCTTTAACACATTCCTGCGGAGGGAGCTGGTAGGAACGTTGGGTTGCTCGGTCAATGGCCTGCAGGGTCAACGGCGGCGTGGTCTATTCCGCAAATATGCCCGACTGTGAGGGCGGGCACAAGCCGGCGTGAGTAGGTTAAACGTTGAATTTTATAAGGGCACCACGGGGTGACCAGCCCCTCCCCACCCAGCCCCACCCTCCTCACCCTGCCCCTCCCCACCCTCCCCACCCAGCCCCACCCCTCCCACCCCCCACCCAGCCCCACCCTCCCCACCCAGCCCCTCCCTGCACGACGGACGGATGGACACAATAATCCCCTGTGGGCTGGTGTAACCAGGAGGTTCCTACCAGTATCACATTACAATGTCTCCACATCTACGTAAAGAGATCAGCATGGCTCGTGCAGCCTAAAACCTCCGCATTTCACGAACGCATCTTACCTCTGCGAGGTCCAGCAGCTTCTGCAAACTCCACGCCCAGAGCTGCGAATTGACATGGGAATGTGGAACAAGCCACTTCGCGTAGCAGCATGGTACAGTCCATGTTGAACAAGCAACCCCCGTTAATTATCAATCGTGACTTACATTATTTCTGCCTTAATGTACACGCCGTTACATCTTAACAAAGCGCACACAACGCACCATATATTTTATTTCAAATCATAGCTGCATTCGGCACCGACACAGGATTACCTCGAAGATGAGCGCAGTGACTTTTTTTTACAAAGTATGATAGTCAATTCATTTGTGAAAGAAAAAAATGCATGCAGACCGGATGTGTTAGAAGAAATGGGCAAACCCACAGTTTACCCAACGCCAATTAACCAGTCGACGGACTTAACATTTGTGTAACCATGTGTAAGGACATTGCGTGGCCCAGTGTGGGGGATGGTCGTGGTGACGGGAGAAGGGTCACACGAGGTGACTGTGCATAGCAACCGAACAAGGCTGGGAGCGGTCGAGAGGAAGGGCGTGGCCGAGGGGGGGGGGGGCACGCGGATAGGGATATACGGAAAAGGCGGATAGGGGTTCGGGGCTGTTTGGGGAGTCGGGGTCCGGATCGTCGTCGCGGGGATCGTCATCAACATCGTTGTCATCGTCATCCTCTGCATCAACACCGGCGCGGACGACTACTCCGACGTCTTGCCTATGTAGTTGACCAGCTATATAGGAACGTCATGTAGCAGCTACATCTCATCTGTTATGTCCGCCAGTGATACTGAATAAATACAACTGTTGGACGTCTCAGGGTGCTACATTACACATGTATAATGCTGAGTTGACAGAGGCGGGGGATTTAATCAACCTGCCCCATTGCTGCCACTGCTGCGCAGGGAGATCGACGAATTAAACCATTGTCGTCTGGATTTTAAGTCCAGTGCGCTAACCATTACACAATGCTTTAGTCACATAAGCTAGAATGAATGATGTTGCCTCGCTAGACCACCTTTGTCCTGTGATTTATCTTAATTAGAACAAAGACATTTCTGAAACTGCACTGCATTCAATTCTACGGTGGCTACACCAGTGGTTCCTCACCTCTACACCAGTGGTCCTCCCCTTTCAAGCTGAAACAATATTATTAGTATTAATGATTTTGGGACTAAAACCCTCCACTAGGCGGTTTGCACCAGGGTCCTCTTAGCAAGCCTGTACATCTAAATGTCCTGTGAGTGCAACCAAGATTAAAACACTCGCACATTACACATGCACAATATTACCATGTAATGGTTTGTTGGGTAATACATGAAAAAAAATACGCAGATTGTTCACTACTATGTTGTAAAAATTATAATTTCTATTTAATGTCAGAGTAGAAGACGATGAAAAATACATTTTAACAAAATTATGGTATTAAATCAAACTTTAATTATGAGACAGTAGTCCCAAGGTTAATGTTTTTAATCCGTTCCATAAAAGCTGTTAACCGAATTAACTGTTAATTGAATATGGAAATTACATGTTAAACGCATCAATTCGTTCCAAGACGATTGGAAGTTGATATTAATAATTTATTGATTTTATGAAGGATTATTTTCCTTAACTTTTCGTTTTGCGAATTAACTTTAGGGGTCATTGCAATCACTATTCACTTATAAGTTGTAAAAACAAGCAAAAATCACTGGGTGTGCAAGGAAGCTGTTTCCACCGCCATAACAGAAAGCAATGTAAATAAAGCCAGTCGAGATCTAAACGCTCATAAATGGGCATCGTTAATTGACTAAGGCATGCTCAGCCCATGTACGAGCCCTCAGATTGGCTGGAATTGTCACCCGCGTGCATAACGTAAATAGACCGTTAATGAAAATATTTACGTTAGTCGAAACCTATGGGAGGCAAAACATTAACCAAAAAAACGTCAACCAATGTCATTGTTAACCGAGGAACTACTCTATGAACATCTGTAAAACAGCATACGTATACTTTATGGAGTAGACGTTTTAATGTTTTTTGTTTGCATTATGACTGCAGGTATTGTGGTCTATGCAAACATGACTCCTTGTAAAAAGATGTCAGTTTTGTTACCAGATAGAAGGGTAAAAAACCAATTATCATATTTTTACTGGCAAATGAGGTTCCCATGGTGTAAATGCTTACCCCGAGCTCTCATACTCTGATGGTGCATTGTCTTTTAGTTGTGCGCCTTTTGGCGTAATCTGGTCCAACCCATGTGAGACTAGTCTCTAAGGAAAGCTGTCTCGGGTGTGGACCAATCTACTTCAAGGACAGTGCACATTATCAGAGTTATGTTTTTTTGTTTGCATTATGACTGAAGGTATTGTGGTCTATGCAAACATGACTCCTTGTTAAAGGTGTCAGTTTTGTTGCCAGATAGAAGGGTAAAAAGCCAATTATATTTTTACTGGCAAATGAGGTTCCCATGGTGGTAGTCATAACTTTTCTAACAATGTTATAACTTTTCTAACACTTACACAGGCTAATACAGTACGTGTAATGATCAAAATTAAGAGACACTCACCCCAAGCCAATGTGCAGCCAAACTGTTATTCAGAAAGTAAGCCAAGGCCTCCTATTGTCAGAAAGAGGCCTCCACGAAGATTGGTCGCGAGGCAGGGTTTGAAGAGATTGGAGGAAGGATTTAAACAAGAAAAAGCTGCAAACATTGAGGGAAAGTTTGAGAAAATGGTCTCAATAAAAGGGGATGTTTGAGGGAATGGACGAGCTTCAAGAGCAAGAACAAAGCCTGGGCCTATAATAAAGAGGCTCCCAGTACACAGTCGTCGGTGTCATTTCAACTGGTGTCAGAAGTGGTGTTAGAATGTTGTGCCCAAGCCACAAGAATTCTACTGATAAGGAGACCACCCGACAGAACTTCCCGGGAAAGGAGGCTCCGAATACTAACCTCAAGGTTGCGGGAGAGGCAATGATGGCATTGGTTGAGCAGGAGCTACAGCAACTACAGCAGTCAAAGAGCTTGCCTGCTCAGATGCCGCTGGTGACTGGGGACTAAAAGCGGATGGAGAGGCGGATTGACCGCCTCACTGACGAAGTCTCCCAGCTAATAATGCAGTTCACTGGGAGACAGGAGAGACCAGGAGCAATGGTCATGATGACGGGAGAGCCGGCGGGCGGAGCTATCAGGCTGACAGCTGCGGAGACTGGGGAGCAGGGAGCGTCTAGAGTGACAACCGAAACACCATCACCAGGGACGGGCGCCGTGGCAAGAGAGAGAGTGGCAAAACGACCTTGCTGGCTGAGGCCGGTGAAGGAGTTTGTGGTGGGCAGCAATTGGGGGTCTTTCATCCGCCAATTTGAGGCCATGTATCAAGCCCTGGACTGGTCTAAGGCCGAAGCGCTGAAGACCTTGCCGACGGCCTTAAATGATGAGGCCCTCGCCATTTTCAAGGCAATACCAACAGAGTGGAGGACCACACCCCAAACAGCCTGTCGCGAGATCGTGGAGGCCTTCAACCCGCCATTAAACGCAAAGAAGACATTTCAATAACGCAGGCAGGAGGAATCCGAGTCGCCCCTCTACCGCAGTGCCTAGATGCCGCTTAGCCAAGCAGGATATCCTCGCTTGGACGAGGCACCACAGTGGTGCTCCCTATAGTGGAGAGGAGGAATAGATCTCCTTGTGGGTGGCCCGGTGTCTCCTGGCTCAAGAGGAGATGAGCTGATGGACCCGGGTAGTGGCTAGTGGCTCAGGTGGAGGAAAGCCCCGACCCTATCGGCTGCACCTCCTGCCAGGACTGTCGGGTGAGAAGTACCATCAGCGGGGTCAGAATCACTGCAGCTGCCATTGATGATGGTAGGTGTCCATGAGAGGAGGTGATGGCGGAGGTCCGTGGGTAGACCGGGCACCGCAGGGCGATCCCGCAATGACAGCGGGAATGGGAGCCAAGGGGGAAGACCGCGACTCCACAGCAGGGCCCACCTATCACCTGCCATCACTGCGGTTGGCTGGGTAACATCGCATGGGGATGCAGAAGCGACCCACTACCGTGAGCGTCGAGAGCATCCACTTGCCCATCGGCGGCCATGGCTTAACAACATTAGGCGTGTCGTGAAACCCCAGACACCTGGCTAGCTAACCCACCTCATTGATCTAGGGACTCACCGCCACTCACCGCCTCCATCGCCACCCCATATGTAATATCTAATTCGACGACCGTCGGGGATAACGAAGTCGTGAAATCCCCTAAGGAATGTCGGGACGTGCTCCACCATCAGTGGCTCAGCGGGTCGTCGCGGCAGCCACGTGAATCTTGGTGGTGATAGGTTCAGTGGGAAGAGTGGAGGTCCACTCTTACAATCATTTGTGTTCGGTAGATCCTCCGTTAACGTTATAGGTATGTATATGTTATTTCCTTTTTTCTCCCTTTCTGTTTGTGATAATATATTTTTTGGGTGTGCTCCACGTTATTAGACCTTTGTTGCTACTTTACCTCACGAGTTGCAGAGAGTACAGCGCAGCCGGCGATGCGCAGAAGCACTGTTGTAGTGCATGGCAGTGCTCGCCTTATGAACCTAATTAGTTCCTGATACCCATACTCTGAGGTTTTTTCGGTAAAGTCACGTAGGTAAAATTTTTTTTTTAAGTTTATAAAAGTAATAATGGAAATAAAATAATAAATCACGACGTTTCGGAGGCAACACAAGTCTCCGTCATCAGGTGGAACCGTCACAGCTAAAATGACTGCATTTATTTTACACAAACGTATTTACAGAGGTGAGAATACGGCTTTCTCAACTCGCAACGGTTATAATTATCTGTAGCCCCAGTATTTTCCATTTGATGAACTCGAACAATCTTGCTCAATGTTTTCTATCTGGTAGATCTCGAACAGTTGGCCCCGATGGTTTCCACAATTTAGATCTTGAGTAGTCGGTGCCGATGTCGTCCACCTCCCGTCATCCCCGAACAAGCGCCCCGAGCGTGGGCCTCGCTCCTCTTATACTTGCTCGGCCCCTGTCCCTCTCTAGCCTTGGTCTGCCCATAGCTTGTA